GGACTCCTTAACATATATGCATACTTTTTCCCAATAGTTATATAAAAAAAACTTGTTCTTATGTGCCTTAATGCATTCCTTGTACAAATGAAAACACATTTCTCTCCTCTGAAATGTGGTAACTCATGTCTTACAAATTGCTGCATATAGTTCCAAGTCCTGGATCGTTGGGTGGTATCCATTTCTCCTTTACTTCTATATCTTGAAACCTATTAAGTTGTAATGTTAACCACCCCAGTATACCCTTTATAAAATAAAGAGAAACATAGAGAAGAAAGAAAAGGAAAGTTGATTAAAATTTATAAATATTTACATGACTCAGCAAAGAACAAAATGTGGATTGATGCTCTCATTTTTCTATACTGGTCCTGGGGCCGTTATTGGTATTTACAATGTCCCTCTTCCTTTATCTGTCTTTTTCATATACTTGCAACTAATTTTGCCTTCAGGTAACTTAGTTAGACAGGATTCTTTACCTGGTTGGGGGCAGGGGTTGGATCTAAATCTTTTTTTCTGGTAGGATCTGTACCCTTGGTAGTTTTACCTGTGTGTGGTTTCAGTTGTATTGAATTGTTTTTTTTTTTTTTCTTTTTACCACTTGGCCTGGTAATACCAGGAGATACCACCAGGGATACTCTGGGTTCCATTTATACTTGTACGTATACTACCTCTTGATAGTCAGGATCACTTACGTTGGCTGATAGATTCTTTTTTGGAGGAGTGGGGAGTGATGTTTCCTAGCAATTTGTAGAACTTAAAAAGGGTAATTAGAAGTCTCAGAGTCAAGTTGGAATAATTGTTGTAGTAGAGATAGTGGAGATATTCCTCCCTTGGGTTCTAAATCCTCTAAACCTAGTAGAGTTTAAGAATATGAAATAACAGTTTGGCAAGTTGGTCACTAGATGTAATCATAAGATGTACTATGTCCTTCACTTTCACCCTTGGGTTTGTGGACCTATCTACTCTGACTAAGGAATAACTGGCCTCACTTTTGTTCTTCAAGACCCATACCAACTGAAGAGTTAAATGGGAATATGGTAAGTCATCATCATCAAGTCTTTAGTTGTGTCACTTTCTGGTTCTTTTTAGGGAAGCAGTGGTGCTCTTGGTTTAACATTTTGGTTTAAAGGGGTTCATAGACTACCTATTTATTCTAATCTGAAAGACTCAGTGATCAATTAGCTACTGCAAGAGATTTATTCAGTCAGACTATTTTAATTTCCATTCTGTTCTTGCTGCCTATTTATGTAATTATGCCTACTGTCCCACTCACTAATGGTTAAATGCCACTGCTTGGTCTCTTCCATCCTTGAAATTGAAATGGGCATCCTGATTTCAGCGTCTCCTACCTGCTTTCTTGGCCTGTAATGTGTGGGTGCTGTACTTGCTAATGTGTTTTCAAAGCCTTGGAGTAGTAAGTATCTTCTGGGTCCCTTGAGGGTTCATAGATGGAGAATGGTTAGAGGGTTATCATGGGAGACACAGTAATTAGCATTATTTCTGTATCCTAAAGGAAAATGTCTCCTTCCACATTATCCCAAAGAATATGTGGCCTCTCAGCTTCCTTTAGCATAGAACATCATTGAGTCCAATTTCCAATCAGCCAACTCGACAAACATTTAGAACCACTTCAGCCATTGAAGGTAGCTTTTGGATCCCAAATCTCTGATAAGTGTACCAGAAGTCAGCTAGATCTAAAATTGCTTTTCCTTCCTTGGTTTAACACACTCAGAATCTATTCCTGTACTTTTTTCCTTTATGTTTGTTCACATAAATGACCAAAGTCTTGTAATCCTTTTGGTGTTTTTGTAATTAACCCTACATGCTGTTAACTGATGGTAGTGTAGCAGGATGGATGTGTGGAAGGGTGAAGTAAATGGGAATTAGTTTACTCTTACAAGGGAATTAAAACGCTAGACTGTCTATCGAGCAGTCTCAATAGATGAGAGAGGAAGAGCTACCCAGCTAACAAGAGGGGCCTAAGTGAGTATTAGGGGTTTAGGGTACTCTCAACTCCTCAGAATCCTCCTATATTCTTTCATTCCAATTCTCTGTCTTTCTCTCTTTTCTAATCAGTGCTCCAATTTTCATGTAATAGTCTCAGTATGGGTGCAAATTTAACTGACTTGTAATTCAGCAATCTGGAACATTCAACCTTGTGCCTTTGTTTTTATGGCTACCTCAGCTCTATTGTTATAAGGGAAAAAAGATGCTTTTCTTGGGTTTCAGTCTGTGCCTTGAACCTAAGTTATGGGGATTTGACCTTAAAATTGTCTTTATTTAAGCTATCTTATCACTTAGAATAGCAGATGCTCTACCTACGTCTTGAATTCTTCAT